GGTACTTTAAAATCCACTGGGTTCTTATATCCAAATGTTTACTCTACCAGGATGTCACTGTATTGAGCCAGTGCTTTCCCATTAGGCTGTTTCTTCCTTAACATTTAGAAAGTAAAGGATTAAAAGAAGCTAACTGGTAAGTACCTGAATGTTCTCTACCAGTGAATTTGATTCCCAGGTCTTGAAGAGCACCTGCCAATCCCTGTGGCTTGCGACTGTAAAAGTTCTATTACAAATGAAATGTATAGTTATCATATACTGTAGTCACCCTTTACTGTGGTTAAAAGAAGGTAAAAAGTCTGCACAGGAACCAAGGTGACTAATCAGGTCGGTGCTTATCTCCTGTTTCTGTGGTATGTAGCGACTAGGAGTATTTCCACTCCCCCCGGGGTGGGATGCTAGTCCATCACCAGGTTGCCCCCCCCCCCAGTGTTAAATTTGCCTGTAGCCATTTATACACCAGGGTGTAGAGAGATTCATTGTCAGCTGAGAGTAACGTATCTTGCCACAAGTCAAAACACAACACATTATGACCCTGGCCAGAACTTCAACCTGGACCACTACATGTGGAGACAAGTGCAACAACCTGAGGCCACCAAGGTTCCCACTCCTTTAGAAAGCAGGGGCAGATCTAGGGGGAGGGTGCAGGGGGTGTACACCCTCCCCCCCGAGATCAAACCTTATTCTTTGTATTTTCTTTGAAAATTTGTTTACCTCACTAGTCAGTTACACCAATCCTTTGAGGTGGACCCCCTCCTAAGAAAAATCCTGGATCTTCCCCCTGGTGTGAGTCCCTGACATAAATGTTTAGTATATTGTCCCTAGACCAAAACAAAAGCTTTTCCCTGAGGGCATTAAAAATGTCTATGAGATCCCATGTTTCTTCATGACGTTCAATTCAGATCGTGTACTACAACCCATGTCACAAACTGTGGGTTAACTGTGCTCACATACCAGAGACTCTCAAAAAGTTAAAGAAATAAAATAATTTGAATTAAAAAAATCTCTGATTAACTTTTAACCATTTTGAACAAGCAAGCTCTGGCTATTAATTTCAAAGGAAGCTACAGGAGTTTTCATGCCCAAACTCTGTCATAAAAGATCTACCCTGGCTTGTTACAATACCAACCTTGTATGTTGCTCGCAGATCAATCCAGCTCCTGAGTGGGTGAGGCATTCTCAACTGCTTTCTGCTGCATTCATTTTTAAGGCAAGTTCCTAAGTCCCAGTCTTTATATATGCAAAGCAAGTTGAAAATGCACGCAAAGAACACTGAGAATTCTACAGTGTATCTCTAGCCAGGGGTAAATATTACCACTGTCCTCTATGGGTTAAGTAACATTTTAAAGTCTGTAAAGAGCATGTAGAAATATGCTTAAATCATGTCAAAACATAATTTTCTGCAATGTCTCATCTACTTTTGTCATCTCACTAGATGGTTTAAACCTAATCCAATCCCATGAATTGGAGAAGCCAAGACTGGTTTATCCTTAACTCTAGTTTCATTAGCATAGAGACTTAGGAGTATTGCTACTCCCCCTGAACGGGATGCATGTCTGTTGACCATGAAGGTTATCTCTTCCAGATTGCCAGAAGTCATTATATCCTAGGTAGACAGAGGCACTGTGAGAGTAAATTATCTTGTCCAAGTGCACAATGCAACTACCCCAATCTGAGGGCTCTTGGGTACACCATTAGGGCACCACACCCATTACCTCTGGCTCAGTTTGACTAATCTGCGATCAGACGTTCTTTTTTCAAAAAAAAAGAAAAAAGAAACTCTGATTCCAGTTAACAGTTCGATCAATAATGAAAGGGCTTACTTCAAATATAATAGTGATTTGGACCATTGACCCTCAACACAAAACTTTTGATTACATAAACATTATGATATCCTGGTTTTTAAGTTTTGAAGCAGGGGTGGGAACAAGCCACCACATGGCAAGTGTGAGATTTCTAGCTGCCATCATGTTGCCACACCATCTGTCATTTCTCAGTTTTTTTTTTCATTGGTCAAATCAAATGGAACCCACTTTCTGCATTGACAATTAAGATTCTAAGAAGTTTGGACTTACCTGACCATGTAACAAAAGTGCACCACTTGTCCAAACTCTCCATGCTGTTTTCCTGATCGTTTTTCTGTACCTGCTCACAAGGAAATTTGAAGCCTTTTTTATCTTTCATCTCCTGTAACCAGCGTCCAAACAGCATGAGACATGTGCCAATTGGAACACCATCATCCACTTGAGCCTACAGAACATATTTTGCATAGGTAAAATGAAAGTTCTAGCAGCAAATGGAGATGGATGGAGGAGAA